AGTAGTGTCTAAAAGTAATACACCAAGACAGTTAATTCTGGCACTTGGTCTCCCTTAGGAGTTTTACCAACAGTCTTTGAAAAGAAAGTAAGTGATCTTTTTTTCCTCCATTTCCCCCCAAAGCTCATCTTGATATGTCCTAATAAAGGAAACTGCCTTGCCCCTCTATTCTCACCCTCATTCTGTGTCCATAAAATCCTTGTTTCAATAACAATGTTAATCAGCATTTACAATGTGATTTTAGAGAAAAAGTGGTTCAGGTCTCTTCATACAGCCTGCTTACAGAGAAAAAGCAGCTCGTGCCATGTGAAATAATTGAAGAGTGTGTGGTGTCTTTTCCTTCCTTCCTCCCTTCCTTCCTCTTCCTTTTCCTTTTCCTTTTCCTTTTCCTTTTCCTTTTTTCTTCTTTCTTTTTTCTTTTTTCTTTTTTCTTTTTTCTTTTCTTTTTTCTTTTTCCTCTTGCTTTCTTGCTTGCTTGCTTCTTCCCACCTCTCCTCTTCCCACCTCCCCCATTTTTGGAAAACACAGTAAAGTTTTGTTCAGTTCTCAAGTGTTATTAATCACTGGCGGAGGCCAAAAGCAGGGATATTTTTCTTGGCAGAACGTTTTGATAAACAATCTGTGTATGGGGTGAAGGGAGGGGGACTGTCTTGCTGGTAACTAAGCTAATGTTTGGCAGATTCTTAGCTGTCACGAAAGTGCAAGTGGCTCTCGGAGGGAATAGCTTGAAAAAAATGTACCGATTCAGTTGATTCATTATTGTTGATTGTTTACTACGTCCACAGGATGTAAGATGAAAACAGGCCAGGGATAAAGCAAAAATAACAGCAGCAGAGAGGACACAGTCTCTACGTATCCAAGCATAAAATGCGCTACCCAGTGCTAAGTCCCTTGCAGAGTTAGCAGAATTCATTATAGGTGTCTTATTTTGCACTGTAAGATTTGGCAAAGGTTAGTTAACGTATGGAAATCTGGGTCCGCAGATGGGTTTAAAAACCATAAAGTCAGCTGTATGAAAATCCATTTGGGCTGGGTCTCACACTGTAACCACTTCCCGGGGCAAAAATGGGACATTTGTGTGGCGTGGGGCCACAGAGCTGCCTGGCATCAGGGACTGGCACAGAGCAGGGCAGCTGTGGGTGGTGTGAGCGGCACAGGCAGCAGAAACGTGGAAACGCACCACCAAAGTGGGCAGCGCTTTGGGCAGCGGCTGTTTGGACACGTCTGAGTGCTGCAGGCTGGAGAGAAAGAAAAAAACAGGAAGGATGGAAGGAAGGAGGGAGGGAGGAGGGAAGTGGTAGGCTCTGTGTATGTCAACAAGGCTTGCTACCTGAAGGATGATAGGAAAATACAGAATTATAATGAGATGAGAACTGAAATGATAAACAGAAACATGTAATTACACTCCTGTTCTTTGTAACCAGGTGTTTTGACACTTCATGGCAGCTTCTACTAGAAGACAGTGTTGTTCAATTTTGAATTTGACAAAATTCTGCAACTTCTACCTGAAGTGTTTGTGTTTTGACTTGCTGAATGTGTTTCCCTATACCTACAAGCTCTGTTCATTGCAAATCTCTACACTGGTTTGGAGCCGGTCATTTGATTGTGAGGATTTGATTTTATTTGCCGTACTGGGGTAAATCTATGTAAATCACACTCTCAGGAGCGCCCTTCCCTTCTGGCCCCTGTATTTTTTCCAGCTGTAGCTGCTGCTCTGACCACAGAGGGAAGAGCCCTTTCTGTGGCTGAGCGCCTCCATCCCGAGCAGCTGCTGCAACTGCCACACCACTCAGTGCCAGAGCTTTGCACCACAAGCAGCAAAGAGTTAAGCGCGTTCCCAGGCTGGGAGCATTTAGAGCATTCTTTCCCAGACTGCTGAGATCATGGGCTCCTAATTATTGCTGCTTGCAAACGCTGGGGCTGTCCTATATTCCGCATAATTAACATTGGACTGCTGATCAATAATCAGCAATATTCCAGTGCCAAAATCAATAGTGATCCCAGTGCTCAGGCGGGCACATGGAATGTGTCCCTTCTTCCTTCACGGTGCAGTGCACCCTCTACTTTCTAGTAGCTGCATTAAGAAAGGTGTTGTCCAGTCTGCACACCTCATGTTTCTTACGATCACTTTGATTCCTTCATTCAAATCCAAGGCTCACTTGGTGTTTTGGCATTATGCAGATGTGTGTGCATGTGCAGTATGGAATACAGCAGGTAAGGGCAATAAAGGGAATAGGATTCTTGGATGGCAGCATTTATCCTAACGTGAAAGGAAGGAGTTACATGTTACTTCTGACAGTGAGAACTGCGTTCCTGTCCACGGGGACTGCTGACGGGCTGGGAGCAATGGGCAATGTGCAGAGTCCCAGCACTGCACCCAAAGTGCTGACTTGCATGTCTGTGCAAAAAGCAATTGTGGAGCAGTTGTTCGCAACTGCCGCCCGGTCTCTCCTGGTGCTCCCCTCCCTTTTATTAAACACATCACTGTCCTTTTCCCCCTTACGCCATTTTTTGTTTGCTTGCGTCTTTTTTTCATCTAGCCACATCGGGCACCTGAATGGCTTCATTGTTTGGGCTTCCTCTTTTTCTCCTCCAAACGCAATATTAATTCCTGGATTATTTCAGAGCTATACAAACAGCGGCCACGTTCAGCACAAAGCCCGCCAGGCCCATGTGGCTGCCCCGGCCCCACCGCCAGCGCTGCAGGGTGTGGAGGGCACCAGGTGAGCAGCGCAGCGCAGCCCTCGCAGGGACGGAGCTGCCACGCACCGCAGCTCTGTGACATTGCCACCGTTCAATCTATTCTCCTCTAACAGATGAGATCGATCCTGACAACTCGTTCCCCGTGAAGGTGCCACGGTGTGCCATTTATTTGCATTTGCATTGCGGCTCTCTTCATCAATCAGCTTTCAGAGATCGCCACCGCTGCTGGCTACATTGTTGCTGCGCCGACACTTCATCTTTAAGTGCCACTTGCGTAATGGCACGGTGCGTGCCCATGACCAAAGTTTAAATCAGGTTTAATCATTACGGAAAAACAAACATATTTTCAGGACTGTGTATCCCGCAAGTAAAAGTAAAGGCAGTTCGCTCGGGTCACAGATGCTAATCTCCGCTCTTTTTCTGTTCACGAACTATAGAGGGAGTTGACAGCACCTGCAAATGGTTTTCCGAGGCCAGATTATATCTCAGGCGATTATTATTTACACCCCCATAAAGGCAGCGGGGAGGGCGGGCCGCTCCTCGGAGGTGGGCGCCGCCAAATAAGGGCCCTTTTGCAGGGTTCGAGGGAGCGGGGAGGCTCCGCGCGGCGGGGCCCCGGTGCCGGTGAGGCGCCCCGAGCCCCCGGCCGGGAGCCCGTCCTGCGGCTGGGAGCACGTCCTGCACACGTGCGGCGGGCTGCGGGCACACAGCTCCCCGTTGCGCTGCGTTAGAGCCGAGCTCCTCACGGAACGGTATCTGCGCCGCCAGCTCCGTGTGCGCCTTGTAGTGAGCTTCTCCTTTAAAACAGTTCCTCTCACACACGTTTCAAATTCGTTTGCCGGCTTCATAGATTACAACCGGACGCATATAAAACGCTTCAGATAACTAAAAATGGAAATGAGACGCAGTGGCGATACGAAAGGAATTATTTAAAGGAACAACGTTTCGTCACGTGAGTCGTGGAACGTTATTAGCCGGGCACGAGGCAGCTTTGCGCTCGGTTCTCAGGCGCCAGTAAGCGGCCGCGCGTACGCGAGCGTGCGCTCGCACGCGTTTGTGTCCGGCTGTCCGCGCCCGCCCCGCCCGCGGCGATGCGCAGCCCCACAAAGGCGGCGGCGCGGCCCGGCTGCGGCGGCATGGCAGCACGGCAGCACGGCAGCACAGCCGCCCGGCGCGGCGGAGGCTCCCCGGGCGCGCTGACGCGGCGGGCGGCGCCGTGCCCCGCGCGAGCCGCAGGGCGCGCCCGTGACGCAACGGTGCGCTCGGCACGAGCGGCGCCGCTCCGCGCTACGCCGGCGTCCGCCGCGCCGCTCCGCCCACGGAGCACGGCAGGGAAGGGCCGGCCCCGTTTGTGTTTCGCTTTCCCCCCGCCGAAGCGAGCGTTCCGCTTATTTGCGTGGAGCGGAGTCGATGCGAGCGCCCTGCCCTGTGGCGGCGTTACGCGAGCATCGGCGGCCGGTTAAAGGGGTAAACGGGAAAACAGCCGCGCGTTCCGACGGCGCGGGGGGATCCCCCTCCTCCTCTTCTTCTTCCTCCTCCTCCTCCTCCCCGCATGAGCGCGGGAGGATCTCGGCGTTCCCTCGCCCGCCGCCCCGCCCCACGCGGCACCGCGGGGCCGCCCGTTGCGGGGTCGGACACCCGGCGCCGCCCGGGCCCGCGGGACCCCTCCGGCGGGGCGCCGGGCGTTCGCGGCCTCGCGCCCGGCAAACGGGAGTGAACTGAGAAGGCGCGGCGCACACGCACGCGGCCGCGGCGCGGAGAGGCGCTACCCGCCGCCGTTCCCCGCGGCCGGGCAGGGCGCCGGGCATGCGTGCTACGCGCAACAAGTGGATGCGCGGCGCGGGCGGAGGAAGGCGGCGGGGGAGCGGGGCGCGGAGCCGGGTCGTGACGCGGAGCCCCGCCCGGGCGCGCCGCCCCGCCCCGCGCCGAGCTGAGCCGGGCAGGGCTGAGCCATGCTGAGCCAAGCCGGGCGCGCGGAGGAGGAGGGGCGGCGCGGGGGGAGCGCGGCGCGGCGCGGAGGAGGGGGCGCGCGGGCACGGCGGCGGCGCGCGGCAGCGCGCTCGGACTGCGAGACAGCGGCGAGGATGTGAGTGAGGAGCAGGCGGCGCCGCTCGCCACGCTGCTGCCGCTCCGCCGCCGCTCGGGAAAGTCGCGGCGCTCCGCCCGGGTGCCCCTCGTCGGCGGGACGGATCGGATCGGCTCGGCTCGGATCGGCGCGTAGGGAACGGAGCGCGAGCTCGGCGGGCAGCCGCGGCGGGTGGAAGGTGACCCCCCCCCC